TGTTATCCTTTTTCCAGGTATAAATGTAGGTATACAGTTTGTCCTTCAAGTGTTGTTGTTCCATCCACTGCCAAGCTTATCATTTTAGTCATTTCCATTTTTGTTTCATGGTTTAATGCCATGTGGTCCACAATTAAGTCTTCTTGCACTTCTTGTAGCCATAAATGGGTGGATCCAAACCACTATGTAGAGACTTGTCAAGACCCAAATACAGAGAACTGCAATAATGCAATCTAGAGGTGATGGCGGCATGAATACGTTTTTCAATGTGTTTTGGGGGACGACAGGATTTTGCTTTGGTAATTTCATGTAATGGCGAAAACTAGTCAACTGCTTGTATAATTTAAAATAAATATTTAGAAACATTAAAGATTTCTAACAGTAGAAGAACAATAAGAAGGAAGTGGGCAAAGTGAACTCATCCATAGGGGTATTATTCTGAAGCCTTGTTTTCATTAAGGGTAAGAACATTTTGTGTTTACTGATCTTTGGCATCTTGTAGGCAGTTATATAGTAAAACTTAATTTGTTACAGAGTCAGCAAAAACAAGTCACTCACTATGTGCTCACAGCACAACAAAGACAGTGTTATTGTGGGGCTCAGTGTGAGGACTGAGCGAAATTTCAGGACAGAGCCGATGTTTTGGCACTGCAATAACAACTTGAGCCATCCACTTGAAGTGCAGATGACTCACTCGCCTGATAACGTAACTGGTTTAAATATTCTCCTCCTGAAAGTGAAACTCCATATTTCAGCCACAAAACTCCTCCTGTTCACAACTTTCAATCACAAAACTAACACTGGGACTCTTTAAAGCCATGAGCTTTTCAACTTCAAAAGGCAGCTTAGACATTTGTAAATATGGCCCTAAAAGTTCCTCTATCTTTAAAATTCCAACCTTTGGAACAAAGGGATATTTGTCCACAGGCTGACCTCATTTATATGACTTCCATAAATCACTGATATGAGAACACGTGTTGGCAAATGTGCATCTTGTAGTCCATCTTCTGCCCATTGTAGTTTCAATCCATCTGTCCTTAACAATGTGACACGCAGCATTACATTTTTAAGGACAATAGTGTAAGGTCATTATAATTAACAACACAAGGCTCTTGTCTTTACCCAAGTTCTTAGCAATTCTCCTAGCCACTTTTCCTTTCCTTGAAAAGAGTTACAGTCGAAATGTGGAGATTACTCTTGTTGTTTCAGGACAAACTGCCACAATTGCGATACCCTCTGAGGGTCGAGGGTAAAGCAGCTGTAATCTAATCATCTTTTTGATGTTTTCCAAAAAAAACAAAATTTTGACTTTTATCTCAAAATAGAATTACAAGTCTGAAAATAGTCTGAAATAATATTTTTTTCTTAATATGACCCTAACACTCCTTCGTAAAATGCTGCCCTGCTTTTTTTTTGTTAAATGTGAAACAGTGAATCTCAGGAAGCCAACATCTATCAGGTTAATATTTGACCAAATGACGAATGCTTACACTGGCAACATTAAAGCAAAGTTTTTCTGTCTTTAAGCATTTTTATCCAATAAAAGGTAGAAATAATGGAATTCTTTATTGTTACTGGAGTTATAGCAGAAACTGTTTTTATTGAAGGTTAAACTAAACTGTGGATGAATGCATCTGGACTCTTTGCTATCTGGGTCCATCAGTAAACTGTGTCTGATCAGTCTCTCTGCATTTCATCTTCACTTTCTCTCTCTTGCATTTTGACCTTTCAGGTTTCAGCTGAATCATTAGATCTAAAATCAGACGTAGAATTAGGATTCAAATTCATCTAATGAAAGTTCAAGCTGGCTAAATGATGAGCAAGGATATTAAATTAAAATGATACATTTTGGATCTAACTCAGGATGAACTTACTCAGAGTTAGTTGACTGAACTTACTCTGATCAGCTGTTCTGGAGCAACCCGGAGTTGCCGATCATAAAGTTGACCAACTCATATTTTATTTTTAAACTAAGGTTTGCTGGACATGCTTCCTAGAATAGGGCCCTGAATTTGGGTCCACAGATGAAATGTTCACAAACATCACCAATGAAAACCAAAACCAGTTAAGCTGGAACACCGGTTAAAATAAATGAACAGTTTAAGCGGTATGAAGTGAGCGGCTCTGCGGTCCTGTAGTGCAGCTCCGTGATGAGACCAGGTTAACTGAAAACGCAACTCAAACCACATTAAAATCAGCAGATGTTCAAAGCCAGCTGCGCTATCTCATGCAACAGGAAGCGATAGCGGAGTACTATTACCGCCTCCCTTTTTGTCGTTGATGTTGTTGACTATTAGGTCCTATGGCGGAGCTCCATGGTGAGGCCCTCGTTTAGTTCCGCAGTTATAAACTCAAACTCCCGTTAAATAGGCTGCGTAGCATTAATAATGCCTGTAGTATGATTTATGCTGCATTGTATGTTTGCAAATTTAGCGACCAAACATGCAGGCGCTACAGTTTACCCACGTTTGTTATCGACGTCCTCCTGGTGTAGCTGAGCAGCGTCCGCCTCTTTAAGCTCCGCCATTACGAACTACAGCAGCACACACAGGAAATGTTCTATTCTACGTTCTTTACGTAGGGCGCGTTGTTTTAAACGCAATTTGACATTTTACGGAAGCGCATCGCATTCACGACAGAAGCGTGATTAATACACATTTTATAATCTAAAATGAGTTACTGTTGCAAATAAAATAATACCACACTCAGAATACCTGGCAACGTGCTGAGGATAACCACATACCTTCAGTGTCAAATTATGCAAGTAGCCTATAGAAAGTGAAGAAGAACTCTTACTGGTTCATTTCAATGATGTTGACAAAAATAATTACAAGATCAGAATATTTGTAATTATGACATACCTAATTATAAGATAATGTCTCCAAACAGGTTTTCCGTTTTTGTTGCAATATTTTGTCATGGAATTTTATTATTAAACTGACTGTTAAAAAAATGAAATGATTAATGTAATGGCTAAAGGAATGAACCACCCATCCATATGGCAAACCAGTTTTGAGACAATTCCTAATTTTCCTAAGCAAACATGTGATAAGCATGTAATTACTCAACAAAGAATGTAAGCTTTTACACAATGACTGCAATGACTTATACATTGCTTTTGCATTAGGGTCACTACTGAGAACAGGAAGGCTGCGCAGAGCGTAATTAACACTACCCAAAAAAATCACTGGCTGCGCTCTGCAGGCCATCGCCAGCTCCTCCTGTCTTGCATCCCACCACCTGTTTGACCCGCTACACACTGGCTGACTCCTCAGGTCAATCAGGTCCCACACTTCCACAAACAGTTTCTTCCCCTATTCAGACTGTTATTGTGGATTAAAGTTTTGGCCTGTCTTAGCAATGCAAAGACCCAAGCATATAAGTATATATAATATATAAGTAAGCATATCAGTATCAAGGAGAAGGTGGCACTCATACCGCTTAGTAATATCATCATCATCCTTCCGGCAGACAAGGGTAGGTGCACAGTTTTGCTAAACCAGGACAGACTATCATGAGAAAACTTTGTCACTGTCATTTACTGACAAAAATACATTGCATCTGGAAAGCATTTACAGCACTGCACTTGTTGCACATTTTCTCATGTTACAGCCTTATTGCAAAATAGAGTCATTTTGTTTTTCACCTCAAAGATTCTGTACACAATGCTCCATAATTGCAAAGTGGAAAAAAATTCGCTTTAAATTCTTGTAAATTTATTGAAAACAAAAATATCATATTTACAGTATTCACAGCCTTTAACATTACACTAAAAACGAGCTTTCATACATCCTGTTTCCAGTAATCATCTATCAGATGTTTCTACAGTTTGGTTGGAGTCCATCTGTGGTAAATTCTCTTGACTGGACATGATTTGAAAAAGCACACACCTGTCTATTTAAAATCCCAAAGTTAACAGTGCAAGTCAGAGCACAAACCAAACTGAAGTCAAAGGAATTATCTGTAGATCTCCTTGACAAGACTGATCAGGGGAAGGGTCTTTCACGAGAAAGCGGCGTCTGGATTGGTACTTCGAGTTGGATTTCAATATCCTGTTCATTTCCGCAAATGCTGACTGATACCATGCATGGAAAAGTGTTGACTCATTTCAGGCCAGTGAGCCCTTCTAATGCTTGGTTTAGTGCCATTAGGTGCAGTGTTGTTAGGGATAAACGTTCAACAGCACGTTCCGAACATCCTGCATGCCCTGCTGTATGCAATAATGCAGAAAGAAATACAGGTTACACTTGGGGACAGCGAAGGACTTCTAAACATCTGCAGCATGCATGCTAGGCTGGCTGGACAATTACCTGATGGTAGTCGAAATGGTGATGTGGCCAGTGTTGGCATAGCAGGTGCACAAGCTACACAACAAGAAATATTAGTTTCAGAGGCAGTCTAAAACATCCAATTATCCGTTACAACTACTCCTGTGTAGGTGTGGGATTCGTTGTGTGTTACAGTGAGTTCGATGTAACCAGGTATTTTGCTCAGCTATTTTTACAGCAGTAGGTGTGGACAGCAGTGTCTGATATCATACCTCCTACCTGGGTTGTTGACCATGTTTTTCTTTTATGACCTTGACAAACACCCAGTGTCCAGGCTTCACCAGCTCTTCTCCTCTGTGCTCCGGTAGCTTCTACAGTCATTATTATAGTCAAGGCCGGGCAGGCTGGACTCAAATGCAGGCCTCCGGGGGAATCGAGGGGAAGTCCAGGGGCACACTCCTCTTCACACAGTCAAAGTTTCCCCAACCCCTTACTACTAACCGCTTCTAGAAACTACAATTCATATTTACTTGTGTTTCAATATGTTACAAACATGCAAAGAAAATGTGGAAATCAGGGAGGGGTAAAACACTTTCAGTTCCCTCAGCCCTCATCTCATTTACAAATTTCAAACTTCCCTCATTTGCCTATCAGTTAATAATAATAATAATAACAACTATTACTACTACCACTAATTCTATTACAACAACAACAACATCCTTGAAACATCCGAAGAGTCACAATTTAGGGGCCTTTATTTTTGAAATGTCAGATCAAATCAGATTATGAAACACATTCTAAGCACAATGAACATGTTTACATGAAATATTTTATATATTTATACTCCCCCCCCATAAAAAAACAACAAGGGAAAAGAAAACAAATACACAGGAATTAGAAAGCAGATTTCTGAAAGTTTGGTATAAAAACAAAAAGAAAGAAAAAAATCACTCGTTTCCTCTTCGACTCTTCTTGTGACTCTTTTTTGAACTCCTGTAACGTGAAACAAAACAAAACCAAGTTAAATAAACAATGAATATTCTAATACCACTACACTGGAGTTGGTGAATACAAATATGCACACAGAGGGAAACTCTTTCTTCTCCCTCTCTGTCTTGTTATTTTTAACCTGGAGCTTAAAAATACACATTTCTCTTTCTTTCTCCTTCTTTTCTGTCTTTAGCCCATATCAAATTACGGCACAGTATAGTGTGCTTGTGCTATTTCTTGTTAGTTACTTAATTTAGTTACTTGTTTATAGACAATTAAAAGTATAATGGAGAAACTGCTCTCACAGCTAGAGACTGGCAAGGAACAACATAATTGCAACACAAGGGGGAGCCAAGACGACAAGTCAGGGGTAGATACCCAAGTTTGGGTGAGAATGAAGCCCCGGGTATCAAGAAAGTATCGTTAAGTGAGAGAGGAATTGACCTGAAAGACAGGATGCTGGACCCTCTGTAGTCGGTTACCAAGATTACATAAATTACCCTCTGAAGGTCTTCTAGATGATGTGAATGCAGCACTACGGACAATATGTACTGCAAACATTACCGAGACTAACCAGCTGATCTATGGCAGCAGTGATCATGAGATGTTTGGCTACAAGATGAACAGCCCCAAGGAGCAGTGGTAAGAACAAGATCTGGGCTATCAACACCTATGCCTGTGATCAGGTACCCTGCTGGGATAATAAGCTGGTCACAGGAGGAGATCGAAGTCACTGACATCAAGACCAGGAAGCACAGCGCCCACTAATCAAATAACGTTACCCAGATATACATTAATAATAATAATACTCACCTCTCTGGGGACTTGGAATGGCTGCGATGTCTGTGGCTTCTGTGGTGACCTGGATCACAACAATGACACCAAGTCATTTTTAGTTATAGACAAAAGTTTTCCAAACTTATGTAACTATGGAAATAACTTGAACATTTCCAGTGCTAAAAACTTAAAACATAGTTGCCAAAAGGATGGCAGAAGAACAACATGAATTTCTATGATTGCTGGCTTCATTTCAGTGGTTTAAAACCCACTGATATTGTGGCACAAATCTTTGCAAAAAATAAACAGATGAAAACAAATTTGAATCCAAGTCATCCTGTGGACCACTGGCCCTGATCCTGAGTGTCCCACAAAAATGTCTGGCCCAGGTGTTTTATGGTTTGCATGCATTTTTTTAAAAACCCTGTTGGAGGTAAGAATGTCCGATATATATTCAACCATATATTATTTTTATTTTAGGATTTCACCTATTGTGGGTTATTATTAGAATGTAACTACCACGATAAACGAGTCACCACTGTACATATACATACATATAACAAAAATAACAGTAACAAGCCAATCGATTAATTTTGGTTGCTTAACTGTAAACAAAGTGCTTTGTTCATTAGTAAGTGAGCAGTTAAAGATACAATGGCTAAAATGCTTTGGAACTCCAAGTTGATGGAGAACATCCATGTTCTAAATCATATGAATGATATATTTGGTTGCTTCTTTAACTTAAATGTCTGCAGACTCTTTAATAACCCATATTTTCCCCCATTCTCAGCTGTCTGTTATTGTGGTTACACCATATGGCCACAGAACACTGATCTCCCCTTTAATTACCTGGTGATTTGGAGCGGTGGCGTCTCTCTCTGGACCTGCTGCGGTGGCGCCGGGGGCTCTTGCTGCGATGGCGATCTCTCCGTGGTGAGGGGCTGTTTATGTACAATAAAAAACACAGATATTCCTGTAAGACACACATACTAGCAGTGCAGTTTTAACAAGATTAAAGTGAATGCAAAACGCAGTCATACCTTCTCCTCTTTGGAGACCTGCTCCTCCTGAAGAAGAAATAATGGAGTTTACCATAATGAAAGCAACTGTATAAACTCAATGTGGGAAAAGGTTGCTCTGCAAGTCTACTTGTCTTATTCACAAACATATGAAGACTCAAGAAAATGTAAGGATGAGCACAATGAGTACCGTCTGGGAGAACGGCTGCGTCTGTAACGTGGTGATGGGGAGCGGCGAGGTCTGTCATTGTCACGGTAACCACGTCTATGTGGCTCAGGAGTCTGAATTCTCTCCATCTGCAACCAAATTCATTCATGTTTTTATTTTTCAGTTAATCCACTAACAGACAACATTTTCAGTGGACATAGAAGCTATTTTATGCAGACGCCTCTATATAACTGAGCTGAGCAACCTAAACCAGTCATTGTATTTGCAAAGGAACTAATTTACACTATGTAATACTATCTGCATTACTTGTGTTTGCAGTTTTTACATATTCGGTGCCAGATCGCGGATACAAGCGGCAGAAATGAGCTTCCTCCGAAGGGTGGCTGGCCTCTCCCTTAGAGATAGGGTGAGAAGTTCGGCAATCCAGGAGGGGCTCAGAGTAGAGCTGCTGCTGCTCCACATCGAAAGGAGCCAGCTGAGGTGGTTCGGGCATCTGACAAGGATGCCTCCTGGGCGCCTCCTGGGTGAGGTGTTCCAGGCATGTCCCACCGGGAGGAGGCCCCGGGGCAGACCCAGGACACGCTGGAGAGATTATATCTCTCGGCTGGCCTGGGAACGCCTTGGTATTCCCCCGGATAAGCTGGAGGAGGTGGCTGGGGAGAGGGAGGTCTGGGCCTCTTTGCTTAGGCTGCTGCCCCCGCGAGCCGGCCTCGGATAAAGCGGATGAAGATGGATGGATGGTGCCATCTTGTGGCAGTACAGAACGTTACTGCTATTACAGATGGATTTTCATGTTTCAGTGAAGCTGAACATATGCTAACTGTGCAGTTAAACAAAAGCTGATAGTTGAACATATTGTGTTTTGTTATAGTGAGGGCTCTTTAAACATTAGAAATATATTTGGAAAATGAACATGTCAATCAGAAACCACCAATTTATTGCATCAGTTTTATATGGTAGATTTTTACTGATAATTTTATTTTTAACCTTATCTTCTTCCTCATCTTCTTCTTCACTGCTTTCTACTTCATCCAAGTCCTCCTCCAAAGCGCTAATCCTTGGGTCCAGCATCTCAGCCTCCTCCAGCACTTGCCTCTTCTGTAATACACGCATAAAAAACAGAAAAGTCAATGACATTGGCACGTCAAACAGGTCAGATATACAAAAATGACACTAACACACCTGAAGCCGAGGAAGGATGACGTCACACATTCTCTCTGCGTGAAGAAGCCCGTCGATGAACTCGTCCACATGCATCACCTCAAACTCTGTAATAATTTACAAATAAAAAATAAAAAATTACGCATTTGTCCTGGTTCGAACACATCCACTTTGAAGACAAAATGTTTACTTGCTACCTCACATATCCCACCCACTAACAAGTGTCACAATGACGAAAAAAATCAGTGTCTCATTGAATGATCGGTGCCTGATTGGTGTACATATACATGCACAGCGCCTACAAATATAAACAACCACCCAATGTAAGGTTTTTGCCAACGTTGTCCTAAATTGCAACGTTTAATCCACTAGTATGTGCAAGTGCTTTGTATGGAATAGGATTAGGGCCACTGGGGGGAAAAAAGTGGGCATGTCCTTTTTTTTTCCTCCTTCTTTTCCAGAATTTTGAGAAAAAAGTCAGAATTTTGACTTTTTTCTCAGAATTTTGACTTTTTTCTCAGAATTTTGACTTTTTTCTCAGAATTTTGAGAAAAAAAAGTCAGAATTCTTTATTTGCAATCGTAAAACAGAATCAATACTGTCAATGAATTAAAAAAAATACTGTTTTAACAAAAAGAAGAGAAAAACAATAGTCAAGTAAAACAGATATTTTTTTATTAAGATCTCAAATTACATTTTACTGTAATTTATTTATTTATATTCTTTAGTGGGTGAAAGTTATGCTTGATGAATTAAACACCTATGCCACTTTTGTGCTCACCTTTGACTCATGCTGTCAGTACTGCTACACTGTAATGCTCCTAGTGCTGGGGCCTTGTTTCAATAAGATTCACACTTCAAATTAGGAAGTTTATTAGTGACATTAGCTCATGTGAAAAGATGGAGAATGCATTTCATGCACTTACATTGTACATTGCAAGTACTGCTGATTGCAAGCAGCGAGCAAATAATAAAATGTTTAGTATTTTTCTTTTATATGTCAGAAATATCATTATTGCAAATTTTCTTGAAATATTGCGATATCATTCACCTCCCTCCAACACCAGTTAGAGTCCAGTCATTTATAGATGAACTTGTCAAACTCACCTCCATTTCTGTTCTGACTCTTAATCTTTCTGTAGTCATTGTACAAAGGCTCCAAGTATTTGTAGCAATCCACTGCAGTTCCAGTTAACCTCATGTACATCGCTCCAAGTAAACGCACATATCTAAAAGAAAAGGGAAAAAAATGAGCACGAACATGTCATACCTCATCTATGTGTTACACACATAAAAATATATTCTTAATCAATCCAGCATGAAATGTGCTACACACGCTGCTGACTGCCAACAACAGTTTACCAAACTGCTGTGCAACATTATAATCAGCAAGATCACATTCAGGCACAAAGACATTTAAAAACACATAAAACTATAAAACAGTACTTAAACAATTTACAGAGCTTTTTATTAATAACAATTTTACAAAATAGCAGAAACATATTTTCCTTACCTAATCATTATCAATAAAGTATTCAACAAATACACAGCCATGTGACAGCAGCAAAGTAAACCGAGGAAAATAGGTTTCACTCATACAAATTAACTGAAGAAATGTACAAATATCTCAGCCCCGCTATCATATAGCCCGACGGGCGGGGCTGAGATAGATTTTGGTCGCCCGACCGGAGATATCGCTAGCCCCGGGACGTCGGGCTAGCGATTTTGAGAGCCCTGGTGATTCATCACATTTGTGTTTGAGTTCATCATTCGATTTGTAAACACAAAAGCTTAAAAAGTTTTGAAGAAATTCAGATAAAACTCAAGGGTCATAATAATCTATTACAATTTGGCTTACATCCACCAAGATCAACTGAACAAAAAGTTAAGTTATGATTCTTACAAGTGTGTATTTTGAACATTAAAAAAGTACCATATAAAGGTTAAAAACCTTGTCACATTTGACCTCTGACCTCTCCTTCAAGGTCAATAGACTGATCTGAAGTTTCGAGTGATAATACTGCTATAAAGAGCAATTTAAAATGCCATTCTCAATGCCACTGTTTGCACTGATAACATACAGCCATATAAGAAATCATATATGGGTATTCTAAATATCATGCAACTTTTTCTTAAGGTCAAATGTTCATAAAGGTCTTATCTTTACAACTATGCTACAACCTTAGCTAAGCAAAATAGTGGGAATGTGCCTAAAAGTGTCACGAGTTTGAGTGAATTCTATACACTATGAACTCGGTTGAGAAAATTAACACAACATAAGTGTTTACTCCTTTTCTCTCTGCAGAAAACTCACTTGAAATCCTCGTTTTTTATGAATTCGACAATGATGTCTTTTTCAGGTTGAATCTGCAACATCTTCAGCGTGAGACAAAGGAAAGGAGTGGGTTTGATATTTCCACCAAAAACTCCACCAACATACTTAAGTTCCATGGCTTTGTCGACAACCAGCTCAGCTGAGGATGAAACAACATGCAAAAGCATTGTTAACAAAAAACTATAAATACAAATTGCATTGTATACAATTGTTGCCTGCAAATGCACCTGCATACATGCTTCCAATTAGACAATGAACAGAGGTATACAGACTTGTACAGATTAGAAATTTACAGTTCTACTACTATTTTACTACCAGTACCATTTCAGAACTGGGGAGTGATGTCCCTCACATATTAGCATATTAGCACTCTGAGTCAATTACTGTGGTATCCAACTATCAGAGAAGGAGATGAAGAAAGATGAAGAAAGGAATGCCTAAGTAGTACAACAAGCTGTGTCCTGGATTGTTGATTGCCTGACAGAAAGACCACAATATGTGCGTTTTAACATTGTGTGTTTGACAAGATCATCAGCACAACTGAGGCACCAGAAGGGACCGTCCTCATGTGATGCAAGCAGAAACATCTGCAGCTCAACGGGACAAAGACCAAGGAATTGACTGTGGACTTTAGGAGGACCAGGAAACCAATGACTCCCACTGACTTGGTAAGAAACACTGTACAGGAAGGGCCAGAACAGTCTCTAATTTCTGAGGTAGATGAGGTCTTTTAACATTTATTCCTTTTGCTGGAATGCACCAAATTGGGAGTGACATCACTTTTTCAATATTAATGCAATTTCATTAACACAAAATTTTACACCATTTCAATTGCAATCTGAAAAATGTTACGAAAGCCTTTAAATAAATATGGCCAAGAACAGTCCATGTCTCCCTTTAGACCCCTGTTTGCTGCAGGTAAGGCTGTAAAAGCTGCCATCAGCCTTTAGCAAGCTGTGTAATATAAACATGGTATGAAACCAAGTTAACAGTTCATCTGCATGTTTTAATACTACTCTTGGAGGCTTACTGCAGATTTTTCTCTGTGTAAAACAAATTTTGGTGTTTGTTGATCAGGCGCTTTGATGAAGTGCAACTGCTGTTTTTGGGCTCTAGAAACACGTTTTCTTTCCTCAGCTTCTCTGTAACAGCTAAGCCTATTTGCTCTTCTCGGTGCATGTGTAAGTGTAAACAGAGTTCAGCTCCATGTGAAACTATGCCAGTGTTATCATCACTGCTGCTATTGTGTTATCAGTGCTTCTGTATAAAACTGGGAGCCACGTGGAATTAATGTTGTCAAACTAAATGTGTTTGCAGGTCTGTTTTTAGTCACAAATGTGGGTGAAACATTTTCATTTACATCGTTTAACACAATGGCATGTTACAGAACCATGTGTTAAATTTGTTTATTTTTTCTATAGCCTTTCTTCAGTAACAAACTGTTTCAACTTCTGCAATCAGGCAGGTTTCGCACTATCAGGACAAAAACAGAGATACTCAAGAGGAGCTTCTATCCTCAGACCATCCAAGGCTTAAATCAGAACATGCCCCCGCTCCCCTCATAGCATCACCATAAGGGTCTAGAACAGGACCTTATTTTATATTCTTGTCATATTTCATATCGTATCTGATTTATTATTACGGCACACGCTGCTACACTGATCATGCTGCTTACCTACTGCTTATATTACTCTGGTCACTGTTGTACTCCAGTCACTGTTTACATTACATTAAATAACTATAGTCACTCAGTTCAATTACTGTGTTTACGTTACTTAGTTTTGTTTATTCTACTTCCATTGCACGGTCAGACATTGCTGTGCTAATATGGTACAAACACTTTAATATTCCATTTGCAAAATGTACATATTCAGTTTTTTAATTTAAAATTTCCGATTTCTAATTTAAAGTTACTTATTGTTTATACTATTTTGCACAGTCAAGGAGCAGTTCAGGACACATCTTAATGTGTGTTGTACTTGTATGACTGTGTCTTGAATTTTTAGCCTAAAATAAAATAATTTCTGTTGCCTAAAAATATCTCTCTATCTATCTCCCCAAGAATATAACTGAGCCCGCTTAATGTCGATAGTAACCCGCTTGCTAAAATGAGCCCTCATGAAGCTAACGTTAGCTCACTGGTGACACTACTAACCGGTGAGACCGAAGCATTCCTCCTTCCAGTACTTAGACTCGTAGATTCGTGTGCGGATGATTTTCTCCACCAGATACTGCGGGTTAGTCCCGTGTATACTGTTAGCGTCTTTAACGGTTCTGTTTGCCATGATACTACTATTCTGGCATGGAGAAAATGAACAAAAAAAAAGAAAACCTTAGACGCCAAACCGGAAAGAGTAAATATTATTTCCGGTTCGACTTCTTCTTCTTCTTCCTTCCGCTTCTTCTTGTTGGCAAACAGCGAAACGGTGCATTACCGCCGCCAGCTGGTATGGCGTGTGGACAAAAATGACACACACACAAAGAAAAAACGACACTCAAATTCATCCATCCATTCGCTTCCGCTTGTCCTTTTCAGGGTCGCGGGGGGTGCTAGCAACACTGTTGAGGATTTATTCAAAACTGAAAAGACACTGAACCAGAGCTAACACAGCATCCTGCAGCGACATGCCATCCCACCCGGTTTGCGTTTAGTTGGACCATCATTTATTTTTCAACAGGACAATGACCCCAAACACACCTCCACGCTGTGTAAGGGCTATTAGACCAAGAATTAAAGTGATGGAGTGCTGCGCCAGATGGCCTGACCTCCTCAGTCACCTGACCTAAACCCAATCGAGATGTTATGGGATGAGATGGCAGAGTGAAGGGAAAGGGGCCAACAAGTGCTCAGCATCTCTGTGAACTCCTTCAAGACTGTTGGAAAAAAATTTCAGGTGACTACCTCATGAAGCTCATCCAGACAATTCCAAGAGTGTGTAAAGCAGTAATCAAAGCAAAGGGTAGCTATTTTGAAGAATCTAAATATAACAAATATAAAATATAAAACATGTTTTGAGTTATTTCACACTTTTTGTTTACTACATAATTTGATACGTGTTCATTCACGGTTTTAATACCTTCAGTGAGAATCTACAATGTAAAGACTCACACATTTACTATTATGTCCATGTTATAGCACATAGAGTGAAGCGTCTGTCTCAAAATGTTAACTAAACGTTTCTAACTTTTGTTGAAAATGTGATTTATGTAATGCTAACCAGGTCATTTCAAGTATGCGGCTTGTTTTGCGACACTGTTGACCTAATGTGATTAAATTATAAATATGTCGGGTTAAACAGCTGAGAGCACCTTGAGCACAGCATAGAAAAAGTTGTGCATTGAAGATGATTCTGAACCATGAAGTGTTCATCAGAACAAGCACTTCTAATTGTACTTTGGTCCTCATTGTCTTTGAAAAGCTAGAGCTGACAAAACAAACCCAGTAAACACATTTTTATCTGTAGGTTTGGTATAGTAATCTGTCTTAATTACATTTTTATTTTTATGTTTTATTTATTCATTATATGGGGGGAAAGTCCTGTCAGCCTTGTGCTCAGAGGGCTGCAGTCACCCATCTGTCCTGTTCTAATAAACACCTTCTTTAGATCTGTTCAGTTTTATTCATATGGCACTACTTAACAGTCAACAAATCTTGTCTTAAGTCACTTTATACTGTAAAGTGTTCATTTAGGACAAAGTATACTGCAAATCTACAGAATTGTCCGTTTTGCCATTTAGTGAACTTCCGTAAAAAACAAAACAAAAACCCCCAGAAAATGTTCAGGCATGAATTTACCAGGACATTTGAAGAGCAAAGCAGAAAGTTACAGCAAGTTCATCCCTGGTGTCCTGACGCAACCCCGAAGGGCTGGAGTAATCAGCAGGGGGCAGCATGACGCCAGTGTTGGATCCTCAAGACACGAAAAAGAAAACCGGAAACTACGCATTTTTCGCGCGAAATCTCATTGCTGTCCTGTATTGTATTTTCAGTAGATTAAATCAGAGAATCGGGCAGATCGGCTTCGCGGTGGGGAGAAGGTTACTTTGTTTTTTGTTGTTGTGATTTTGTCCTCTGTGTGAGCTGAAAGAGACGAAACAGGATGAAATATTTCACTCGAATGAAAATCAGACGAGTATATGAGTGGAGTGGAAGGGCACGAAACTTCAACAGGAGGCTAAAAACCCACGACTATGAGTGAGTAATTATTTTTCCACCTTAAAAAATGGCTTTTTATGCTCCGTCTTTTCAGTGTGATGGTTAAAAATGTTTCTGTTGGAATAATTAAGGGAGATAAGAGTCCTGCGGATGAATTAAGTAGAATGACAAACTATCAAACAACAACTATGTGATAATCATTTAAGGCAGTGGTGGGCCGCGTTATTGTGCTCTTTTGTTGTCCCTAGCCCTCGATCCCTGGGGCTGGGGGCAACAATTGTCTGTTTGTTTTAAAGAAGGGAAAGTCTAGCGCTCCTTGATCTTATTCTTCACTTTATGTTGTCGGCCTTTGCCTTTGATGTGGTTACAAAAATGTCAAAGTTACCAAAGTCGACACTCATACAAAGTTAACATATAATTTACTGCCATAGTTTGTTTTATTGACTTGTTGCTAGCAGTTTGTCCACAGCATTGAACTCTCCCAGGTACAAAGATGGTAACTGTGTTGTGGACATCACAGCTCTAATCTGGGCTCATGGGTGGAGTCAGTTTTAATGCAGTCTACCATGTTACTGTTTGCCTGGAGGGGGGCACAGTTTTAGTGATGGGTTGATGACGCCTCGTGGAATGTGTGCCACATTGGCTTTACTGTGTGGGGTTTTTTTTGTTTTTTTTTTACTGTTTGTGGACTTTAAATCCACACCGGTGTTATGACCAGATGAAAGTACTCTAACCTTTTTCCATCTCTGGGAACTCCTTCAAGAGTGTTTAAAAAAAAAAAACATTGTGCAGAGTGTGCAAAGCAGTAATCAAATCAAAGGGTGGCTATTTTGAAGAATCTAAAATATAAAACATGTTTTCTGTACTACATAATTCCACAGGTGTTCATTTATAGTTTTGATGCCTTCTGTGAGAATTCACAATGTAAATAGTCACACATTTATTATTATGTCCATGTTGTAGCACATAGAGTGAAGTGTCTGTCTCAAAATCTTTACTAAACATTTCCAACTTTTGTTAAAAATGTGATTTATGTAATGCTGACCAGGTCATTTCAAGTATGCGGCTTGTTTTGTGGACTTTAAATCCACACCGGTGTTATGACCAGATCGAAGTACTCTACCCTTCTTTCCATAGAAATCTAGAAGAACTGTTAAAGTGTATTTTCAGAAGTTTGTTAGTTATGTTTTGGTGCTTTGAAATGACCCTCCAAAAGTTGATTCTGTTCATCTGGA